ATAATCTTTCTTCACTTAACTTCAAAATAAAACGTTTCGCTTTACTTCACACCAGGTAAACCTATCAGACGTCGATCTTTCGATACACATGCGAGTCGTGGAAACGTGAATAGAATGATCAAGTTCTTGAACAGAATGAAAGGAAAACCAGGGTGAGTAATGAATGTATTTCTGAGTTACTTCTAAAAAAGATACATGAAAAAAAACTTGTTGACCACTGAGATGAAAATCCGTTGACGGGACACTTCGTAAAATATTGGGGGGGGGCTTTTGTTGTTGCTGGAAATCTTTGTTCTTGAACCTTTTTGCCTTAAATTTCGTGCAAAACCACTGGAAAAAATAATGAAATACATACTATGAAATTTGCAATTGCATCACTAAATCCATAGTATATCCATACTATTTTTACAATCATATTATATAAAAAATACAAATACAGCTATGATTGAAGGATTGGACAACAGAACAAGAATCTCATACTAAGTCCATCCATCTAACACTAAAACACGTCGTATTACGGACTGCAAACTGGACAACGTAATACTGATTTTACAGGCCTTTACACTATATAAAACATGCAAGAATAAATACTACACTACTGTAAAATTATTTGCGAGATTCAGATTTGACCACCATCACTAGTTGAAACCTCTAACCACTTACATGCAAACCAGTTCAGCGCGAGGTAGCTAGTAATAGCGGTAATGGAAGTCAAAAATATAATTGCAATTAGTATGAAAATTGGATTTCCATACTATTTCCAACGAAGATCTATTCTATTTCCATAATAAGGCTTTCGGAAAGCATTTCCGGTGCATATATTTTTAGCCCACCAATGCTTTCATTCTTGAAAAATTATTGTTACAGCTTTATTGCACAGTTATTTAGCGATCATTCAAAGCTTTTGGGAATTATTGGCGTGGAGGGACGGACGCCCCCGCCCCTTGTGACAAATTCCACCACTGTGAAAAGCGTGTGTACTAAACACTGTGTACACCCTCACGTTCAGCAGAAATTTATCCTGATTGATTCTCACCTTAAAACTTCGTATCTTGCAGTAAAATTATCTTGGTGGCCATACAAGGCGAAGGCAGGAAGTACATGACAGGTGCTGCTTATAATGCATTGAGGAGGATCGGTGCGAAAAGTCCACTCAGGGCTGGCTATCGCGGTTCATTTGCTCTGCTTGGCTATACTGGTCCTGGAAAACCAGCATTTATCCGACAGGTAATGGCAAAATACGTGTTTGCTCTATTTAACCCCTTGGGGGGGGGGGGTCATTTTTTCCAGTGATTCTGGACTGGAGGATTATTAGGGGGGGAGGGATAAATATAGGCTGGGGGCTAAATAGATTTTCACATTCAATAAGTATCAAGGGCTGTTCATATGAACCAGCCCGGGGCGGGATGAATCGTGTCACGAAATTGATCAGAAAGTTTGAATGAACTTTATTGTGTTTATCCAGCTAATTCAACTTTAAAATGTCATTTTGGACATTTATCAAAGCCGTGATAAGAGGTTTATTAAACGAATCAACCTGGCCATGCCGATTTCATATCAATAATTTTCAATATCAATTCAATCATTTAATTTTCACACAATTTCCCATTAACCTTCTTATACACACAGCATTATCACTATCAGTGAACGTTGTGACGAACATTTTGTGTTCATATTTGGCTATAAGTCTATATTGAGAGCGATGGAATAGAGAATGGGGGTTTATTTAATAGAGAATGTATATTTTATATAATAGAGAATGGGGGTTTATTTGAGAGTGATGGAGGGGAGGGGGTTAAAGGAGGCTGGGGCTTCACAGGGAATATGGTGGCCTGGGAGAGCTATAGACCCATTGCACTGACGTCACAAATCCTTAGGGTGTCCTCCAGATGCTCCCTAACAATATCTGTTCGGGTACAACAACCACATACAGCGCAAAAATTAACCATTTTAATACAAAATTATTATAATGTTTTACAAAATTTGCTTTGTTTACAAAAGTTATATTATGCATAGATTGCTAATTTGTCCTCCAGATGCGTCGTCACCGGCGCTGTGACGTCATGTGCCATGGGTCCATAGCAATGTGCAGCCTCTTATATTAAACATAATCAATATAGCACTATATAGAAAAGTTGAGAAATTCAATGAGAAGATACACTTGTGCAGGGATATGATAGTTTCGTTGCTCAAATCAATCTGAAGCCCAAATCAATCAACCTGTGTGTAATACTACAAATAGATATAATTATATCGTTTAGTGATAAACTTAGATCTCTCAACTTTTACCTTTGTTTATTTTCTAAGTATCAATGTATATAATACTTTGCTTTGGCCGAGATGTTAAAAAGAATAAAACTTTTGACAAAACAACAAGTCTTAAATATGTTCACCCTAACATTTTTCTAGAAAGCAAACTTGCGTAGACGTGGTCCAAGTGTTATTAACGCAGCCTTCGCTGTTACAGGTAAATTGATTTCAAGATTTTCAGAATTTTGCAAATATTCTCAAACGCCACTCATAATGTTAAGTCTGGTTTACACCATTATTAAAAGTTTCTGTGATCACAGTAGAAATTTTGCGTGGGTAAATTCTAAGATTTGAAAGATTTGTAAGAAATGTTTGAGAGAACTGAATCAGTGTTAAACACTAATTCAGTTCCCTCAAACATTTCTTAGAAATCCTTTAAAACTTAGAATTTACCTATGCAAAATTCCTACTGTGATCACAGATTTTGATAGTGTAAACCAGCCTTTAAATCCACCCATTGTACTATGTGTATTGCATGAAATATCAAGCAACTGTGTTTATTTTAACATATTCTCTTTGTTATATTTCTAGCAAAACCAAAACCTAGACCTGGTATGTTTTCATATTTTCTCAATTTACGTTTAAATTGTACAAATAAGTTTTAACCTTGTTCTAGTTAGAGAGATGCCCGTATTTAAGAGTATATAGTTAGCCTTGCCATACATTGGCATTGATCTCGCTGGTTAGTTCTGACTTCTTAGCCGAGTAGTATAGACTTGTGCTGCAAGTTGTAACTTTCTGTTGGGAAGCTCCTAATTGAATTTTGAGAGCTGTTCCTCATGTGAAGGTTTCTTGCTCAATTAACCCAATGAGTGCACGGAAGTACTCTCTCCTTGACCAGTAAAATCGTCTGGCGTTAAATCACAGTGTAAAATTATAAAGTAGGGCGCATCAGGGTGTATTGCCAGTTAAAGGGTTACAATTTATTTCCGGTTTGTCCTTAGTGCTGGACAAACAAGGGATTGCCCTTAGAAGACTTTTAGCAAGAAGTTAAGACAAAACTGATAGAGCTATTCAGTTTAGAAAGAGTTCAAGTTTAGGTTTAATCACAGTAACCTTCAAAGCTGTATTTTGTCAAACAAGATGGCCATCATTTCATCATTTACTCTAATTCAAAATACTTTTATTTATATTTTATACCGATTATTTTTACGTGTTTGACTTGCAGCCAAAACGATGATGATATCGATAAGGAGTGAAGGTCGTAATGACAGAGGCAAGAGGGGTTCTTCTGGTACTGCCAATATCAAAGTGAATGGAAAAGATTATTCCAGGCGTCGCAGAGGATATAACATTGTCGTAGTTCGTGCTGACACAGGTTGGACATATTGTGTACTTTTATTCTTACCTCAATGAGGATCTTTTATTGGGTTCGTATACGAATCATGGAAACACTGGAAAGCTATGGAATTTCAAAACATCAATCCGAAAATTACCATGTTGATAAAATTCAAGATATGAGTCAAAACAAGACGACAATGAGTTTGTCATCATCATTATTTCAAAATTGATGCCTGGAAATCCTGTAAAATCTGTTTTAGTTATGGAAAGTGGAAAATTAAAATTTTTGACAATTTTTTTATGAATTGCTGCAAGTATTTTTGCGAGAAAATTGTGAATCATAGTTTCTATGGCCCGCATGTAAATGTTTCGTCGCTGTTTCCATTGACCCCCATTTACCAATATTTCAGAATTTCAGGCTATGGGTTTTTGAAAGAGAACAATTTTTCTAATTTTCAATAGCTATAAACTACCTTTTATAATGCTTTCGGGGAACTGACTTTTTTTTCATATTTTCCTGTCCAAGCTAGTAAATTGAGCATATAATTCTTCGTTTTTGCCAGGCAAAATTATCCGACGTCGTTCATTTGATACACATGGTAAACCGTCAGATGTCACAAGAATGACTCGATTTTTGAATAGGATTAAGAGAATTCGAAAGTAAGTGCTTGGTACTTATTGTATGGTGACAATGTGTTAGTTTTTTGACCATCACTCCACTTGTGATATGGTTGGTAACCAGTAGCAATAATCATATCTATATAGTCCTGATTTGCGATTGATGATCTACGAAGCTAATAAAACTTGAGCATTTGGGCACAGTGGAGAAGCCAGCCTGACAATTTGGTCATGCTATGCAAATTCTAAATCATCATCATTATTCATTTCTTTAGAAATTGATTGTTTCCACAGTCTATGAACACGGAAATAGTTGCATGAGTATGACCAAATTGTCGGGCTGGCTTCGCCACTGCTTGGGCGAGAATGTATAAAAATGTAGTGCAACCTGTACCCACAATAGCCCTGAGAACCGTCCTGACCGCGTAGCTCAGTTGGCAGAGCATTGGGCTAGTATTCCAAAGGTCGTAGGTTCGATTCCCACCGTGGCCGGGCATATTTTTCAAGCTCGCCCGGTGTGGATGTACACTCAGAGTAACATCACAAACATCAGCCCTGAGAATTATTACTGATCTACACGATCAGGACGGATTGAAGACTGGAAATTATGAACTATATACTGAATGTCGTAAACATACTCATTTATATTAATTCATCATCGAACAATGCTTGTTCAATGCAGAATATATTCAGCATTGAACAAGTATTGTTCGATGCTAAATTGATATATAAACGATTATGGTTAAGACATTCAATGTATGGTTTATAATTTCCAGTCTTCAATCCGTCCTAACCGTGTAGCTCAGTTGGTAGAGCATCGTTCTGGTAATTCGAAGGTCGCGGGTTCAAGACCCAGCCGCAGCGGGCAGATTTTCTGCTTGCGCGCGATCTGGAAATTATTATCAAATTCTCACTCGAGAACATTTTCTCCTTATCATATTACCAAGTGAACAAAAACACTTGATTATACATGCATCCTGAATAATGGTCTGTTTCTCTTTTGCAAATTTTTCTATAGGATATGATAGCAAACATTATCCTTATTTTTAGTAAAATAGTTCTTGTTGCCATACAAGATGACGCCAAGAACAAAATGACAGGAGCTGCATACAAGGCTCTTCGACGAATTGGGGCACGCAGTCCATTCAATGCAGATATCCGTGGATCATTTGCAATGATTGGCTACACAGGTCCTGGCAGACCACGCTTTGTCAAACAGGTAAAATAGTTAACTACAGCATGCAGCTGTCAGTTAAATTGCATATGCATTGATTGACTTATAGGAATGGTGAAACCAATTTATATCATGGTGAATCTACTGTACTTCCTTACTAATTTGAATATCATCGATGCATATATGGCTTCTACAGTATAAACAGTAAATTATATTATAAAATAACATGCATATAACGCGTGCTCTGATTGGTCGAAACCCGTGTTTGGATCAGGCCATCCAAACACGGAAATTTAAAGTGAAAGTTTTTTAAAGTGAAATTTTAACACGGAAATTTGTTATTTTATAAAACAATTACCTTATCGTTTCCGTGTTTGGATGGCCTGATCCAAACACTTGGGAATGTGTTTGGAAAAGGCCATCCAAACACGGAAACCATAAAGTAATTGTATATTACACGATGCTGTTAATCGCAATATTGGAGAACACAGTAGGTCGTTTGCAATTTCCCTCAATAGACAACTTGCATGTTAGACTAAGTTTTGATTTAGGCAAAAAAAAGTAAATTCCCGTAAAGAACTTATTAAAATCAGTAAAATTGCAAAATTTGGTTACGAAATGTTGTAAAATACAGAATATATAGCCTTGCGAAGTTTGCATATTTTCAGTATGTTTGTATTACGTGCAGAAATTGTTACCATTTTTGAGCCGAAAATGGTAACAATTTCCGCACGTAATACAAACACTGAAAATATGCAAACTTCGCAATGCTATATTTTCTGTATTTTACAACATTTCGCAATCAAATTTTGCAATTTTACTAATTTCATTATTTTCTTTTTAACTGTTGTGTTTGATTCCCTTCTTCTCTTTACTTAAATTAAAATTTAGTCTAACATGCAAGTTGCCCATTGCTGGTTGCAGAACACATTCTGTAGAAGTATTTTGTGTAATGTTTTTCTGGTTTAAGTTATTGCCCATTCTGCACTCTAGTTCATTCCCAGTGGCAGTAGTGCGGTATTTTGTATATAGAGGGAAATAGACAAATGTCGTCGAATTAACTTCAGTACAAAAAATACAATTGCAGAATAGGCAGTAACTGAAATTAAGCCAAAATTACACTAAATACTTCGACAGAATTTGTTTTGCAGCCAGCGATTGAGGCAAGTTTCAAACGACCTACTGTATTCTCAGATTTTGCGACTGACAATGTCGCGTTATATAGTTCACTGTTTACTGTTGAAGCTATATTTCAATTCAATATTCAAATTACTGAAAAAGGTGGAATAAATTATGCCCGTGATTTCTGGCCATGGTGTGGCGTCTGGTAGAAAGAAATGCAAACTTCCCCATTCATTTTTAATGCTTTTAACATTGAAATTTACATTAATCCATATTTTCGGTTTCAAGATATTTTCATCTTTCGGCACTTTATGCACAGATTAATATATTTTTAATTGCTATAGGTTGGAAATCGTCGATACAAAGGACCTAGTGTCATCAATGCAGCAATCAGAATAAGTAAGGATATCATATTTTGAACTTACTAGAATCACTTTGTATAATTCGAGCTTTTGGAACTGTTCTGCGGATAAGCAATTGTAGTCTTAAATTTCATAACAACATCATTGAACCCACAGTTGTTAGATTTTCTAGAAATACTTATTGACTATTGACAATTGACTATTACCCTATTGAATTACCTACATTGTTTACTGTCGTCTCGCATACGACGTACAAAGGATTGATCGAGAATTGAAATACTTGGAACACACCCAGCATTACAGCAACAGAAAAATTGAAGAAGAATCACCTGTTGAAAAAGTTGACTTCAAAATGAAGTTGACTTTGCACTACCAAAGCGAAGAGCAGAATGAATGATTCTGCCATAGACGCCGAAAATTACGGGGAGTTACCCATGTGTCCCATATGTATTTCGTCTATATATAGTCCAAGCTCAGGAGGCAATAAAATATTTATTGATATGCCAATAATTCCTTTATCCTGCATGATATGTTGCCGAAACTATCATAATACCATCACTTAATTTTCCGTTTTTTGTTTTTTTTTCACTTTCAGGAAAACGTGTTGGACCGCCACCAGGTACCGTAAATAAATTATTCTGTGCGTGATTTATGTAAGTCTTCGAGAAAATTTAGAGAAATTTTTATTCATTACCTTGTCAATATTTACTATGTAGACAAGAAATGGGCAAAAATGCGAAAACGATTCACGATGGTTGATTCTGGGATAACAACTCGGGCATGGGCTGCGAACAAACGTAAACAAATCTTCACCTATATCAGAGGAAAATGGTATCGAGTTGCTGGTGGACTAAAGCATGTTTCGTCAGGTCAAGCTGGAGTTTGGGGTGTCAGTGGCAGTGGTTATGTATACTATCGTGTGGGAGTTACAGCAAGGAGACCTAAGGGCAGATCTTGGAAGCGTGTCTCTGGTAGACTAAAACAAATTGATTCAGGACCAAGAGGACTTGTCTGCGGTGTAAACAAGTATAATAACATTTACTGCAGGACGAAGATAAGTTCACGATACAGATACGGCAGAAGCTGGATTCGCATTCCTGGTAAGCTGAAGTACATCTCCTGTGGCGACTATGGATACTGGGGCGTGAACAAGGCCAACAACATTTACTTCAGACAAGGTGTTTCGCGAAGCAATCCCTTGGGATCGAAGTGGCGAAGGGTGCCAGGAAAATTGCGTCAAATCGAGGCAGGGAAATTCGGTCAAGTTTGGGGTGTCAGTACTTCGGGGAGAATATACGTTCGTACTCGTGTGACTTCATCTAAGCCTTGGGGTGCCGGATGGAAGATGGTGAAGACCCGTAAACAATGGCGACATATTACCATTGGAGTTGGAGCTGTATTCGGCGTCGCTACGAATGGACGTGTCTACAGAACTGCTCCAGCTACTGGAGGTAATTTTTTTCCAAATTTATTTTGCCTCTAGATTATCCCTATCATATGAACGATTACCGTTTATTATGAACGTTATCTTCATCCACTGAAACCACCTTGAGTATTGCGATCACCATCATCTTTGCAGCAACCATCAATAGAATTGCTACAATCGCCAACAATGTTTATATATACTGGCTACCTGGGATTTTTAATCCATCGAAAGTTATTTCTTGTGGCATAATTTTTGAACATTTTTAAACACAGAAATTCTATTTTGTTTTTCAGGAGTTACTCCACGACCACCACCTCGAGGTAAGAAAAATCACATATAAACCAACAGTGGACACTTGCATCTTGCATGGCATGTAAAATGACCTATACAGTTAATTAAATAAGTAGTATAATATATTACGGTTTGCAAAATTTGTTTTACCCATCGGATCTGAAAATATTAGTTGTATGAAGATTTCAACTAAACACAAAGAAACTGTGGTAAATATACGTTAACGTACGATTTGCAAGATAGTTGTTATACACCAAGCATTTTTGGGCGTACAATACAATCGTACGTTCCTAACCTCTGGCATAAGATATAACGTTTTTAACCTCTGGCATAAGAAATGGACTCTGATGTGAAGACAATGATGTCTTGCTTATTTCCTTTTTGTTTTACTTGGTACCTTTTTGTTGTGTCCAAAATGCTATGATTCAGCGTGGCTACAAGTATATTTCATTGTTTTCTAGATGCAAAATGGACCGCTTTTGGCAGACCGCTTTCTCAAATTGATTCTGGCATGACTCCCAACATTTGGGGTGTTAATCCCAGCAATTATATCTGGATACGAATGAACGGAAAGTGGAGAAAGGTTCCTGGACGATTGACGTATGTATCTTCCGGAGGAGCAGGTGTCTGGGGTGTTTACAAGTACAGAATCTATGTCCGCGTGGGAGTTGGTGGTAGAAATCCTAAGGGCAGAAGCTGGAAGAGGATATCGGGTGGATTGAAACAGATCGATTCAGGACCTCCTGGAATTGTATGTGGTGTGAACAAGAATAATTATATCTACTGTAGAAGTGGTATTGTACCTGCAAACAGATTTGGCAGAAGTTGGGTCAGAGTTCCAGGAAAACTCAAATACATCTCTTGCGGTGCACTTGGACACTGGGGTGTAAACAAAGCGAACAATATATACTTCAGGTACGGAGTAAATCCGGGAAGGCCACAGGGAACAAGATGGAAACGTGTTCCTGGTAAATTACGTCAACTCCAGTCTGGTCCAGACGGCGCTTTGTGGGGAGTTATGAATTCTCGTGTTTACACACGTCTTGGTATAAGCAAACGAAAGCCAATCGGAACGAAATGGCGAGGTTTTAAGAAGAAGAGGCTTGTTAGTATTTCTGTTGGTCTTGGTACCTTGTATGGAATCGATAGGAAAGCTAAGCCTTGGTCGTCAGTTGCAACTGTACTTGCAGGTCCTAAAGCTTTACCCAAAAAAGGAACGGTTGCAGGTATGTGTCGAATGTTTAGAACCTCTTTCAGTCAATCCTTCTCTTTACCCAGCTGTCAATGTTTGCATTGCATCTATTTAGAATAAACACAGACAGGTTTTTGTTCATTTAGCTGCAATGGCCAATGCATTCAAATATACACTCTACGTTATTAGCGAGCTTAAACAAGCGACCTTTTTGTCATCACGGACGTCAGATTGCCAAGGGGGACTGGATTTTAAAGTGTGTTTGTGTTAGTGTGTGGTAATCTTCAACAAATATGAC